ATTATAATCAACTTATATATATAGATTTATATCAATTATCATTAATATCGATTTGGATATGAATCAATTATCAACACCACCGTCGATTATAATCGCTTGAAACCAATCGATTATAATCAATTAATTGTTTGCAACCGATCATAATCAGGCTTCAAAATTTCCTGATGGAAGTGGTGGGAAAATCAATAAATCCAGGTACGATCATATCATAAAGATTTTACTAAAAAAAGTATTGGTTACTTGAGCTCCCGACACATCAAATACACAATATTTTTCTTATATTCAATTGCCAAGATATAACTATTATCTGTCCTCACACTATAAAAATTACCATTTTTACTAGAGAATTTGATTCACTAATAATTATGACCTGAAATTAAACACAGAAAAAAAGTTCATAAATAAGGATGGAATCGATGATCGATTTTTCTGAGCTGATTAAATAATAATCAACAAGTTTATTGATCATTTCCAAAAAAAATTCAGATTACCGAATCTTTTTAGAACTTTACTATAATTGGTTGACTTATTTTGAATATAAGATACAATAATTATCATTATATACGTACATACTTTACCGTATGCAGTAGCAAGTTAGATCATACTATGAAACTTTTTTAACTTTTTAGTTAGTCTCATATCTAGATTCTTTTAGTTTTTACCTGATTTTTTACGATACATATGAATTGGTTTAAATAAGAATATTTCATTATCAATAATTGGTACTTCGCTACTCATCATATCTAATTATTAATTTGGAAGGGGAGCAATTTTTAATAGTCATTATACTTTTAAATCTTTCATTAGATTTAATTTATTCATATCAATTTATTTATATCAAATTTATTCAAATCAATTTATTCAAATCAATTTATTCAAATCAATTTATTCAAATTAATTTATTCAAATCAATTTATTCAAATCAACTTAGCGATCTAAATTAATTGATAAAATCGTAATGCCAACCTTCCCATTTTGTAACAAAGAATTTTTTTCAGATTAAACTAGATAGCTGCGAGAAGAATCATGAACGAAAACCTAAAAAAGAAAAGAGTCAATTATAAACCTGACAGCTAGATAAAATCACATTATGAATTTCCGTCTGACCGATTACTCTACTCTTTAACTGATTACTTTTTCACACTGATTTTTAGTATCTACAGTTAAAGCTTGACATAACGAATTTTTATATTACGAATTTTGTCCTATAACGAATTATTTAATTAATTTTAATTTTTTATGAAATAGAATAATTAAATATAACGAATTTTTTATAATAAGTCTTACTATAACGAATAGCGAACTGAAAGTATATTATGAATATAACAAAATATATTTGATTTGACTGAATTTTTTTATTATACTGAATTTAATATAGAAAAATCGCTTAAAATTTAGATCACATGATATAAAAATAACTGATTGGCTATTGAAAAAAGATAAATTTTAAAGTGACATTCTCATTTAAATTAAAATTAAATTATAAAAGATACGGCGTAATAGTAAGAGCTATAGACTCGATTGGCTTCTCTAAATAGGCCAATTAGTAAAAAAAAATCTTAGCATTCATTGAATAAATAGATTAGTTAATAGATAAACCTGAATAATTTTAGTTATACTACTCGCCAACTAAATCATTACATAGAGCTCTTACCCGGGTCAGGTCAACCCGGGTTATAACTCGGGTCAACGGGTCGTGCAGGAATTCATGAAGTTTTGAAAGTTAATCCTTAAAAGTCGATATAACGACTCTTAATTAGAGCGATTAGCAAAAAGAGCAGCCTGTACACCAAATATTTAAACTGGATCTTTTCTAATTTTGTATCAAAAACTTTCTCGACCTTGAGTTCGTTTTCATGTCCTAAAGCACCTGATAAATATTATCAGAATGATTTTCGGCTAATTCGGGTAAGTTTGTGGTTCGGCATAATAGATTCAATAAGGGGTTTCAGAATTAGCGTGCGGGAATCTAATTTTGACAATAATAGATAAGGCCACACAAAGTTAAGTTTTCAATAATCTATTTTAATCGGTTTAATGAATTTAATTCAAAAAAATCAATACTTATTTAATCAAAATATAAAGGCATACAAGAATTACACGATTCTACTTCAGAAAAATAGAGTAATATCGGGATGGTACTATTTATGAAATCTGATTGGTTGAATCTAATTTAGTATCGTGTAATTTATTTAACGCATTATTATCTGATGATGCTGAAATTTGAACTTATTTGTTTAAAGTTAAATAATGCCTTCATATTGTTAACCGTTTTAAACAAAAAAGTTTTAATTTCTTATGACGTTAACACTAAAATCATAAAGTTCATATTAAAATCTGTGGTGCAACTTCGGTGTAGTCACGTTTACGTGAAGATTGCACTAGGCCATCAATAAAATAAATAATCATGCCTAACACTTCAGTGGTCGCAAAGAAAATCCGGAAAAATAATATGCAACAACTTTTTTCAGTTTTTAAGAATGACTAAATTATTCTTCAATTTGGTTTAAACGAATTCTATAAAGTTAGCAAGATTATCGAAATATTATCACACGGTGGACGATAGAGAATGTATGGTGTGAACAATTACGTATTTCCGGATCTTTTTTTGGTTACACTGTTCTAACAAATCAATAATCAAAATAAATTAACAAATTAAGAACATGTTTATGATTTAGATTGTTTGATCAACAACAATGAGCTATATATGATCATCATCTTCTAATTGGCAATATTAGACCAAAGATTTACAAATTAGCGTGGACACTATGTCAAATAATTTTTTTAAAGTTACATACAGTTAGGTCTACGATAAATATACAAATGCCGGGTCCATTCTAGGAATATCTTTTCTAGTTTCATATAGTTTCATATTGATAGCAATCACTGACATACAGTAAAGATAAATCATTCTAGTGGTATATCAATTGAAGTTTGTATTTTTTCGGGAAGGAATACAGATTCTGAAAGACAATCATTAATACTAATTTTCAATTTTAAAAAAAAATATCAGTTATGTATAAGAGCTACTTTTTATTAAATACATATTACGTATTACAAAAACTGCAAATCAATACATGAACGACAAAAATTACATTTTTATTTACTCAAACATAAGTTCTTACTACGTATACTTTAACAATTAATAAATAAAATAAAATAAAATAAAAAAATACGTAATAATAAATATTTTTTATTATATTTTCTAATACCGAATTTTAATCTATAGTTATATAACGAATAATTTTTTAAAATTCATTACACAAATTTGCGAATATTTTTTTACACCGAATTGTAACCCTTTGATTTAGAGATTCGTTATGTCAAGCTTCAACTGTATTTATAAATGCTGGTTAGAAAAAATAATAAAATAATTTGAAAGATCTTCATCAAAATTCCTTGTCACGTGAATGTACGTAATAGCTACGTAATACCGAAAATGCGTACAACGTTGGCGGCACAGACAAAATTCTTAAAATTTGTTAAGGTAAGGTAAAGGTCAGGATTAGGATCTAGAGAGTAATAGTTTGTACAGTAAAAATTGTCCAATAAAAACTTTTTATTAGAACGCAAAAGGTGATTTTTTATGCTGATTTTTGAGCTATGAGCGATTTTTGGCAGAACAAACGTTTGTTACTGATCGTGTTACGATACACCTAATCTTAAAATCTGATTCGTAGTTCAGGAGAGCTGCGCCGCCAACCTTGTACACATTTTCGGTATGCTATTAACTGTTAATAGATAATCAGTACATTAATGTTAAGTAAACTGTAACTTTATTTAAACAGCAGTTTTAGCCACTTACATCTTCAAAATTTTGCAAAAAATGAGCTATACATCTAAAGTATTTTTAGTAACTGGTGGTGTGAGTACGATACAGGTATATGTTTTTGAGCACCAAACAAAATTCATATATGTAATTTTTTTTTTATAATAACAAAGAATAAAGGAATTGGCTATGCAGTCATACGACATCTTGCTCTGAACTATGCCAACTCATCACCATATCAGCCTCTTACAATTTTGTTGACAGCACGTAACCCAACACTAGGTCAAAATTCAACAACTAAATTACGTGAAGAATTGAAGTCTAATATTTTAGTAGATGATGGTGGAAAAGTAGATTTGAAATTTTTGAAATTGGATATAATCGATGAACAAAGCATTAAGGAAGCTAAAGAAGTTATTGAGAAGGATTACGGAGGTATAATATGTTGTATAATTGTATGACTAAAGATTCATAAAAAAATATGTGTATATTAACCAATTGTCACTACTTATCTTTAAAGGGCTTGATATTTTAATTAATAATGCGGGTATTGGTAAGTTTCAATAAAATAATACAATAATTTAAATCTTTTTTTAAATAAAAGATTTCGTATTAATATTTGTTTAATTTGTACAGCATTTAAAGGAGATGCATTTGATATCAATGTTGTTCGTACAACATTAGGCACCAATTTTTATGGTACACTTAACGTATTCAATGCTTTATATCCACTTATTAGACCAAATGGTCGTATTATAAACATTTCAAGTACAGCTGGAAAACCAAGTTTTTTGAGTAGTGCTTTGAGACAAGAATTTTCTAAAGAGGATCTAGATATGGAGGGATTAATTAAATTAATGAAGAGATTTGAGGTTTGCATCCAATTCCTGAAATTAATTATGCGAAATAACAATAATTGATATTTATAGAAAATAAAATGCATTAGAATGCAGTAGAGGCAGATATTCACTTACAGGATGGATGGCCCAGTCAAGGTAAAATTATATTTAATTCGAAACATATTCAAAAAATTCTAAATAGTTTTTTGATTAAAGCTTATGTAGTGTCCAAAATTGGATTAACAAAAATGTCACAAATTTTGGCTCGTCGCGCTGATAAGGAAGGTAATAATGTTAAAATATTCGCATGTTGTCCTGGTTGGGTAAGTTCAATATTTCAAATTATTATAAGTTAAACAAAAGGTAAAAAATATTGGTAGTTTACGGCATATTTTCATATTTCTAGGTTAAAACAGATATGGCAGGTGATGCGGCAAAACTCACTCCTGGTAAGTATACTAATAATGATACTTGATAACATTGAAAGTTTTTAGTACTAATATCATTATTTTTTCAAAAGACCAAGGTGCAGAAACACCAGTATTTCTTGCTCTCGACGAAACAGTTGTGCCTAAAAGTCCAACTGGAACTTTCTGGTATAGAAAGAAAATTTTTGAATGGTCAAAACTTTAGAAAATTTGTTAATTGATGGAACGCGGACCCAAAAATAAAAATTTAACAATAGATAATTATTATAGTGAACATTACAATAAACGGTATATATTGTGATTTTACATATATTATTAAGCGTTCATTAAATGTTCATAAATTTGAGTGCGGGCAAGAGAAAATAAAATGTACATTCTAAAAATATATGATAATGAAATCCATATCAATTTATTTTGGATATTTTCCCTTGCCCGCACTCATTTATTGCAAATAGAAAACCTGGGACGGTTACATTAAACTTCGACCTCCGAATTTAACAATGTTAATTATTAGTTTTTCTAATCCAAACTGAAAATATTTGAGGTATGAATAATAATATTTTAAACACATGGGTTATTTGCTAGGAAAATCATTATTTGAACGCAAGTGTCAAACAGTTATTTTCCTAGCAGATGTTCCATGTGCTGTAGTAAAAATAATTTGAAATGGAAAGCGATTTTAATGCAATGGAAATTTCATTTGCAAGTATAGAAAAGCTCGCAATAATCACTATATATGCAGGAAAATTACTTCACCATCTCCATCAAAATATAATACTTTACGATTACGTAATGGGGCATAAATTTCTCCGCATAATGAATGAAAAAAAGTGCATTCACACGATAGTAGCTGTAGGCAAGCCCAAAAAGAAACACATACAAAATACTCTAAGATCCTGTAATGGAACGCAAATTCTAGTTTAATTATACAAACAAGCAGGATCAAAATAAAAAAATTTTATCGAATTTGCATAGGTGGTTTCCAAGAAACTTTGCTCAAAGTTTAAGAAAAATCCATTCTGTTCATCATTTAAGCATTTGCGTCTAATTTTTGTTAAAAACTTTGAGCAAGTTCTCTCAATATCCACCTTAAAAATTTCAATTAAATTTTTTTTTTAATTTAATTCAATAAACATGTAGAATCAAAACAAAAAAGGTTTCATCTAATTGCTTAGGTTGTTGTCAAGAAAATTTCGTTCAAAGTTTAAGAAAATTTATTCCGCCTACCATTTAAGTATTTGCGACTAAATTTTTTGGTTTTGTAAAAACCTTATAAAGTCAATTGAAAATTTTGGTTTAATTCTACAAATATACAGTTAAAATAAAAAAAAATTTTTCATAAAATTCGCTTAGGTTGAGAAAACACCACTCAAAGTTTAGAGAAAATTCATCCCGCTTATCATTTAAGTATCTGCAATTAAGTTTTTTTTTTTCGGAAACAACCTTATAAAATTCTATGAAAAGTTTGTTAATTTAATACTGCATATTTGTTAGAATTATAATCTAATGCATGACAGTCATGCTCAGGTTATTATCGCGAGGATCTTCTAATTAAGGTTAGAATGGAGAAGGAAAAGTTACGATATAAAGTTAAGGGGGGAAATATTGAGATCGATAGTGCCTTTTTTCTTCGCTGCCCGACTTTAGTCAGGCTCTTTCGTAACGCCCATCTGCAAATTAGATACAAAGTGGAAAACGCAATAAGAACGTAATAATACAAAGAACGTATGAACTTTATAATGGAAATGTGCAAATTGCAACCAATATAACACATAACCAGCTTTGTGAAAAACATATGATCACAGAAAATAGCACAAGAACGGAAAAGTGAAAATAAGAACGTCGATAATTGCATCAACTTAAAGCTACATCTTATGAAAATATCGAATAAAGTCCTTCAGCAAATTAGATAAATCCAAAATGAGGCAACGAGTTTTTAGTGATGTGGTTAGACGTACACAATATCCCGTCTATGGAGACATGCTAAAAGAATTTACAGATTATGTATAGTCAAATAATAAAATTAAAATAATTGGACTGACTCATAAACAATGCAATGGTTGAGCATATGATGGATGTGCGGAAATAAGGATGCCATTGAATTTCAACTTAAGCCACATCCCATATGGACGAAATCGAATGGATTCCTTTCAATAAAGCAGAGAATATTCAGAGGGGTAGTAATGGATTTATAGTGACCTGGAGGTTGTAACTTACATACTTACCTTACATGTAAGCTACACGTAAATTACATCCAAAATTTACAATGTATGGTAAGTTATTATATATACTATAATATGTATAATAAATTAACCAATTAGATTAATGCATACTTATATAATGTTTAGTATATATGTGATGCAATAAAGATTTGTTTCTTTAGGACTATGCAAGTTGTAAAACTACTAAGCTTTACAAAATAAATAAAAACTTTTATTTAAATTAGATTATTGAAAAGTTAACAAATTAACTTTTATTTATGAAATTTTTCTAGCAAAAATTATAGTTATATTATAAAGTATTATTATGTTATTTATTTACATATATACATGTAAGTTGCATACTTATAACTTACATAAAAAATTAAAATTTGCTATAAATTTACAACTCAAAACACTTCATTATATCATAAGTTTACTGTAAAGAAGTGAACTGTATTGTGACAAACTGGTTTATTTTGTTATCTAACTTGTGAATTTATTTTAGAACTCTGTAATATTTTATAGACTTATTTGAATTATTTATCTGTGCTAATTTGGTTCATGAATACAGATTTGTTTATAAATCTAATTATAGTCAAAGCTTATAATAATGAACTTCTTTATAATGAATCCTAGAAATAATGAATATGAAATTTTAAATTTTATAATAGTTGAGTTTGGAAAGTGTAGATTTATTTTGTTTTTCAATAATTTGATATTATTTGTACAAAATAACTCAAGTTTTGCAATTTATTTTATTGAAATAAATTTTCAAACAATTTATGGCTTCGAAATTTACTACTTTCATTATTATATAAATTAAAAAATGAATATAATAGAAACTTGTTGAGATTAATCACTCTTACAAAAACTACTGAACCTATTAGAAAAACCAGTAAGTTATATAGTATATTATGTTTTTTGTAAATGAATATACAGTATAGTAATGAATGAATTTAGAGCAAAGGCAAGCATTCTAATTAAATCTCTGTCATCAAAAATCTAAAAACTCTAATTGCAAGTGAATCTATTAATATTGAAAAACAAGAAAGGATTTAAAGATTAAGCATAAAAAGTTTGTAAGTCAAAAGGAGTTGAAAAAAAGAATGTTGTGGAAGAACTTTAAAAACTTTTATATAATTGAACTTTTAATCAATATGCATCTTATAAATAATTACATCATATATTATAATATAATATCACAAATCAAATATAAGGTGTGTATAAATTAATTACACTTTTAAAGTGAAATTTTTTTTTATTAATTTATCATATACAATATTTATCTATATAATAAATTATTTAAAATTATATCTCTTAAACTGTTTGAAATTCAGGACAAATTTGCTCTGAATTTTTTAAAAAGTACTTCTAATCTATTTTTTAAAAATTAATATATTAAATTAAATTTATTTTAATAAAAATTAAGAAATAAGAATTATAATTTTGTAAAATTTATATTTAAATTATAAGATAAAAAATTTAACCCACTAATAAGCTAAAAATATACAAAGTGAAAAAAATTTAATTAAAAAAATAATTTACAATTTTTTTAATAAATTTTTTAAATATTAATTTAGATTTATAGTTTTTTAATTAAAATTGTAATTTAAATAAAGGATAATAACTTTTATTATTATAACTTTATAATTTTTGTAAAAATTGAAACTTGTATTAAAAGCAAAAATACCGTTCCTGATAGATCGTCAGTACTGTTCCTGATAGGGTGGAAAAAAAATTGATCTACATCCCGTTCCTGATAGACTGCCAGGTGGATGTTATACAAACCTCCATATTGGCACTAATATAATTTTGCTTTAACATTAATAGTAGATTTAATAATTAAATATTTGGGTAAAGCGTAACAGACACAGTAATCTATATCGATATGAAATAAGATAATACATATTATATCGCGATTTATTCAAAGTGTTATTTTTTATGTGTATGTATCACAGGTTTACTATGTTCATACGGGCAAATTTGTCTGATA